TTATAATGCAATATGTTAGAATACTATTTTTTTTAAAATTAATTTTAATATAATTGAAGATGTTTGGATAACTTATTCATAATCAATTTTATTTGTGTTAATTCCCATAAAGGACATTTCTTTTTAAAATTAAATTATTGATAAATTTATATATAGTATTATTGAATTTGTTAAATCCTATTCAAAAAGTAAAATATATTATTTAAATTATATATATGATTAATTATAAAAAATTTAAATTATACCAATATTAACAATTTTAATTTACATAAATAAATAACTCAATATATCTTAGTTCAATAAATTTTATAAAAGAGAAAGATTTAATTCTTAAATGTCAAATATTAAGTTTGTAATAACTAATGAATATGATAATATACAAGTTAATCTCTAATGACATCATGAATATAAGCTATATTCGACAAAGATGATAAGCACTGTCTAGAAATTTTTGCAACATAAAAAATGTAACAATGTGATAAATGACGCAAAACTTTTTTTTCTAGACTTTTGCAACAATCTTTGTAATGATCCTGAATTTAAAATTAAATTAAATTATTTTTTTCTCTATCAATTAATATTTTATTTAAATTAATTTTATAACAAGTGCTAAGTGGAGGATGGTGTTTGATAAGAATTTATTCTAGTAACTTTTTTAAGGATTTAAAATTTAAATTTTACTAAGAAAAAAATAGAAGAGAAAGGAGTTTAATTTTATTTTTATTAAATTTTGTGTCTTTTTTATACTTTGTTTTTCTTAGGCCTTTCTTATAATTTTCCCACATTCCTTTATAATTCCAACGCAGAAGCTAAGTGTTTTAGCTTCAGGAAAAAATCAATTTTTTGAAAAAAAAAATCAATTCTTTGGTTTAATTGGTGTTTGAGTAATGTGATTGAAAAATCGATTTTTAACTCAAAAAATTGATTAAATTTTGTATCCAAACACACAGTTAGTGGATAATTTATAAAATAGAGGATTCAATTGTCATTGTTGTTCTTGATGTGATAATTTTGTCGATGTAAATATTTATGTAAGCATTCTTTAAACACATTATATTTTAAGGCTTATTGGATTGAATTTAGGAAAGAGTATTAAATTTCGTGAAGCCTGAATCAGTGACGTTTTTATTCTCTTTATTTTATTCATCAATTTGAGACTAAATTATTTATTCTCTCTTTTTAAGTCTGCTAACGTTAAAGGGTGGGAATTATGGCTTCCACTTTACTAACCAACCATTGAATTATTTATTTTGATTATTTAATAAGTTATTTATTTCACTGGTAAATACTCTTAAAACTAAATTATCAAATTAATTTAAAAAATTCTGTGCACGTCCTGTGAAGGGATCATCTAATGAATGGACCATCATATACAGCCACACAGAGATGGACATTAAGCAAATAAAGGTTTTTTTTTTTTTTTATACATCTTACGAAAAAGAACCGTTGAAGTTAAGATCTTTAAGATTTATTCGTACGATAACATAAAATAGTGAGTAATTATTAGAGGAGCTCGCTCGATTATAACATGGTCAGACTTCAAACATTGCGCAGTACAAGCTTGTTTTCCAAGTCGAAGCTGTCGGCTTTAAGGCATCGTGCATAGCTTTCGATTTAAATTTCAAATTTGAACGGTCCGTAATCGCGAAGGGCTCAGCGGCTCAGACCAACCAAGAAAAAAAAAAAATCAAAGAGGAAACAAGAAGGGCCACGCAAATAAAATCAATCCAAACAAAGACAATCCAAAGAGTAAAAACTAAAAAAAGATCAGATCTTTTGAGGCTTCGACGTTGCAGAAAGCCAGAAACATGGGAGAATCGGCCTGTCTTTTGCAACAACAACCATTCTGCTATGCTTCCGGCATTTCCAACGAGGCCAACGAGGTCAGTTCATTCACCCTCATGCTTCATACTTTGCATTCTTCGATTCTCATATCTTTTCGTCTTTTCCTTCTTCACGACGAACCACAAAAATTGGATCTTCAAGTTATTCCTCTGCCTTGGCCATGAATAGAAAGTTATTCCTCTGCTCTTTCTTTTACCGGACCAGTCTTCTACAATTCTTGACTTGAAGGGTTAAGTTTAACCGCTTTGGTCATTTTATTTGGGGTTCACATTAACCGAAAGTAACATTTCTTCGTCTTGAATGGCTTGAAAAACCTGGGAAAATTGTGCGTTTCAGAGCAACCTAATTCATGCATTCGGGCAGTCAATTTCATTTGGGAGGTTTGGTTCGGAGTCTTTGGCTTGGGAGAGATGGTCTACTTTCTCTCACAATCGCTACGTCGAAGAGGCAGAGAGGTTTTCACGTCCTGGATCAGTTGCAGAGAAGAAAGCTTTCTTTGAAGCTCATTACAAGAAGCTCGCTGCTCAAAAGGCTGCTGCTTTGCTTGAACAAGCAAATAATGCTACGTCAAACAATGCCACCAACCAAGAACACGACCAAACGGCTCATCAGGCCACAAGTCCACCTCCTGAAGCAGTTCACTATAAGAAACAAGAAGTTAATGTTGTTGATTCCAAGCCAAATGCCACACCCAGCGATTCACATTCAAATCTACGCGATAATAACAGAGTGGAAGAGTGCCCTCTTGTGACTAATTCAATTAAGGTTGAATTACAAAACCAGCTTGAAGATGTTGATACCCATAAGGACGCAAGTGAAAAGGTAGAATACTGAAATGTGATTGTGTTGTTCTGTAACCAGTGAATGTTTCATGTTTTAGAACTTTCGTGTTGTTTATTGCAGCACAGTGCTGATTATGAAGATGAAGTTTTGGCACCGATGAGCACCAAAAAACCGCCAGCCTTTTCCCTGAAGTCGTTCGAGTCCACTGAAACTTCCAAGTTCAGCTCGACACCTGCCAAACCTGTTTCTCAGAAAAACGAAAACATTATGGGTACCCCAGTGAGAAGCAACAAGCCAGCATTAGGCTCGGTCGATAAAAAGAAACCAACCGTTAATGTCACACCCATTGGCTCGGTTGACAAGAAGAGATCAACCGTCAAATTCACACCATTAGCTCGGTTGATAAGAAAAGGCCAACCGTTAGTTTCACACCCATTAGAGAACTCAATAGATTGACTGCATCGGTCATGAGGAAGTTTGAAGGTGCAAGAGTTTCCAAGGCTTCAAAGGAAAGTTCGACTCCCTTGAGAACCCCAACCAAGGTATTCTTCTGGGTTTCTTCTTTTGTTATGTCAAATACAGTTTGTGTTTTCAAATCGACTTCAAATTGCCGCCCAACTGCAGGCTTCGAAGAATCAGTTGCCAAAGCATTCTTCAGTGACCCCATTGACAGAAAGGAAAAGGTAGCTGATACATTTTTTTTATGATAATTGCCACCATGAAAACCTGTTTCTTACTATTGTTTTCTTTGTAGCTGATTATGTCATGATGTTCATGTTAATGTTGTAACGCTGTAGGACCAAGACCCCTGTCGGTTCATTAGTATCGGGTAGTAATACAGCTGGCTCCAAATGGCGCTTGCTCTCTACAGAGTAAGTTAACTTCTTAGATTATGTCTCTTAAAAGCTCCATGGTTCTAGTCTTCTAGACAGAATTCAGCATTATATATCATATGCTAGATGATATTTGAAGAATATTTCATGAAATATTCAAATTTTGCTCGTGGAATTGAACTGATTGAATGAATAGCATCCGAGGTTCTTCTACCAGCAATTATAATGTCTTAAAAGGATTTCAATTTTACTGCTATTAATTTCAGATTTAGATCATTGTTTAAATTTTTTAATTTAAATGCTTGCAGGAACAAGATGAGATCCCCGATTATATCCTCCCCCTTCAGCTTGAGAACCGAAGAAAGGGCTGCCAGAAGAAAGAAGGCAACGCTCCAAACCTTGTTTCTCTCGTAATCCAGTTTTTTCAAACTTGAGGGATATACTTAAATGTGTTTCTTTCCTTGTCTATTCACTATTCATCTTCATGGAATGCAGAAACTGGAAGAGAAGTTCAACGCCAATGAGGAACAAAAGGTGCAGCTACATGCAAAGCTAAAGGTGGGTTCACGAGGAAAACTCACGGTAGTGTCATCGGATCAATTAAAAAAAAATTCAAATTCGATCGTCTTTATGTGCAGGAGAAAGCAGAAACAGAAATCAGAAGACTACGTCAGAGCTTTTGCTTTAAAGCCAGGCCACTACCTGATTTTTACAAGGAAAGGAAAGAATCGAAGAACGAGGCAAGCAAGGTATCTTTCTCAATTTTATACCTTGAATTTAGTGAGTGATTCTGTTTATAGTGGCACCGTTGTTGCCAAGCCCTACCATCCCTTGACGAAGATCTTACGGTTCAACATTGGTTCCCCATGAAGCCAGGAATGTTAATTTCTGTTTCATTTTGACACTTTGCAGTGCCAATTGACGAACCCTGAGTCACCCAAACAAGGGAAAAAACTTACTCCCAGTAGGGTACGGAGAAAATCCTCTGTGACTCCACAGAAATCTACAGTGAAAAACAATGGCACAAAGAATTATGTAGAAAAGAATGGCCGAAGCTCCAACGATCATCTAACGTCAAATCCCAGGATGAGTGCGCAGGAGAATGCACCGCCTAATATCCAGCATGAAACCCCATATGACAGCAATTGCCAAGAATCCACACAACGGCTAGAGCAGGGCATCACAAGAAAATGTCGTAGAGCTTGGCATAAAATTTAGATCACTAGAATTAAAAAGCAAAAGATGCTTGCAGAAGTGGAACGTACTAACGTACCAATATTAAATCATTGATCATGCAAAATAGAAGTCTATGGTCCTTCCAATAGAAAACCACTTCATTCTGTTTGTTTTTATCATTCTGCATTTCATAATGTTTACATGTCTCGTCTGGCTAGCATTGGCAGGAAACCCGGGGGGGGGGGGTCAATAACTAACGTTTCCCCCTTAAAATGTAAGAACTAACCTCATTGGTCAAAAACTCAAGCTAACGATAATGACCAAGCCAAAATACAAAAGATATCTAAAATGAAGGGTTCCGTCTTCCATGAAGCCAATTTCAATTCTAAATGACAAAAAGAAAAACCGTCAATTGACATTATTTGCTTTTGAAGAATATGTAAGGGAAGAAAAAACTGCTTCTTCACAACCAAGGGAATGCATAAAGAACTCCGAACCCTGATAAGATCAACAATCGAGGGCATGATTTATTCATATGATACGTGCGTAATCACCAATTCAGGGAGACAATGTTACACTATACACATGCCAGTCACATGGCTGCTCGTTTTACATTTGAAGGTAATGTAGCCAAACAAAATGATTCCTTGTAACTAATGATAATGCCCTATCATGTGATTATCACCTTAGGAAGATAATGTTCACCATTCACTTCTATTGGTGTTTTCAAGTTTGCCTCAAAAAACTCGCGTCTTTTGTCCATCTCTTTAAGATGTACAATGATGGAAGTATCCTTATATTCCTGTAATCAAGGACTTTCAATGCATGGCTGCATAAGACTCCCATGGACTCAAATTTCATACAGCTGCAACTGACAGTCTCGTTAGATGAATTAAAGGTAACTGTATACTCTCGTACGTGTTCATATAAGCTAACTTTATACTTGTACAATGATCCACTCTCACTGCAATGCTTTATCACTAGATTTAAACAAGTTTCATATTCTTTCTGAAATAATTCAAATATCTTTGGTGTGTATGGATCTCTTGCATGCTTCAAAAGAATCACATCTCCCATCAGTGCTGGCATACGCAGGCTCATATCATAATTGGCTTCTAATTCCTTATAGTGCCAATCAGTCACCACCTTCCCAAGATGCTTGAGAAATGAGATCACATCTGTATCATTCGTTAGGTGCTTCTTCAAGCTACCAATAAGATTTTCTTTCCACAGCAGACTTGTTATGTCAGCACAGAAATTTTGCCTTCCATATGCTGGGGCCCAATTGTCTCTGCTTTCATATATTCGACACAACCATTCATTTTTCCAAAGATTATACCTGTTCAGGAAATCATTCCATGCATTAACCAAGCCTTCCTCCTCCTCGTGATCAAAAAAACAGCTTCTCAAGTCATTAACAAAAGAATTAGATCCCACAGACAGGTGACTGAGTTGATTTAGTGTATTTTGGTACACATGCCAAGCACAGATTTGGCAGTTGGTTTCAAGCAAGACAGAAGAGACTGCTTCAGCTATTATTTCATCTTGATCTATAAGAATTGTCTTTGGCTGTCTCCTGGACATTGCCTCCAAGAAAACTTGAAATAGCCACTTGAAAGATTCAACTGTTTCATCATATAGAAGTGCAGCCCCAAAGATAACCATTTGCTTGTGATTATTGACACCAAGAAATGGAGCAAATGGGCGGGAGTCTCTACAAAATCTGTAACTACAATCAAAGCAAACAACATCACCAAAATCACAGTAGTCTCCTACCATCTTTGTGTCTGCCCAAAACATATTAGTTATTTGATCACTAGAATCACGTTGGAAGGCATAAAAGAAGGAAGGATTTTTGGATCGCTTGCTTCGAAAGTGATGCTTTAGCTTTTCAATTTCTCCCTCTTTCATTTCTCTTGTGTGCTTGAAAGGCAATTTATTTCCATATTCTATGGGGTCACAACCCGTATCATCTAAACCTTTAATAGCCTTGCAATTTGGTCCAGACTTAGGATGCACCTTGGAACCATCTAGCATGTTGCTCTCAATGGCTTGATTTGTGGCTATTCTCTTCTGTGATCGTAACATGTGAACTCTACAAGCAGCAACAAGCTCATGATTATGCTTTTCTTCAAAATGAGTTACACAATATCTACCATCAGGCTGACGAGAAATGACCAGTTGTGCTAAACATCCAATTCTAGTCTCTTTTCGAGGCCTCTTCACAGTCATATCACGTTTGTCTTTCTGCCGAAAACCTTCCCGAAAGCATGTGAACCTCCTAGATGCGACAGCACCATCAATTTTACTTCTATTTACATAATCTTTCCGAACACTGAAACCTACACGTCCAGCATATGTATTATAAAAGTCATATGCATGATCTTCTGAGTCAAATCCCATTCCAAGTTTTGGTACCCCATCCAACACAGAATTATTAGACAAGTTAGATTCAACTGCTTGAGCAAAACTCAATCTTCTCTGTGATGGTAACATATAAGCCGTACAGGGTGTTGCAAACTCATGATTGTGCCCTGCTTCAAAATGAGTGACATGAAACTTGCCATTAGGCTGACGAGCAATAGTCATATGCGCCAGGCATCCAGTCCTTGTTTCCAGATGGGATTTCCTTACATTGGCACTATGTTTATTAGGCCCATAACCCTGTCTATAGCAAGTGTATCTTCTAGATACCACCGCACCATTCACCCTACTTTTGTTGACAAAATCTTTTCTTATGCTGAAACCTTTCAAAACAGCATACCTGCTATAATACTTGTAAGCATGGTCTTCTGAATCAAACTCCATGCCAATTTTTGGTATCATGCACAGCTCCTCCTCAGCTGTTATGACATTACTGTTACTTGACACATCAACAGAAGAAATGTTGAATTCCTGAGACAGATTTCCATTTGCAGCATCAATCTGAAAATTGTTATCACAAGAAATGCTTGAATTCAGACAATCATCATTATTTCCCATATGAGTTTGGTCAACAGGACCAATATTTGGGCTTGCGCGCTCATTCTCAGTATCAAAGACCATGTCACAATCTGCAATTGAAGAAGCCCTGGGGCTTTGACTCTGCTCCGGTGTCAGTTGCTGCTCCAGATGTTTGACCTTCATTTTGCACATCATATTCTGGTGGATGGCTTTTTATATCAGGTTCTATACCCTCCATGGACCTTTATGTAAACATAACCACAAAAAAAGTAAGGGAAGAAATGTGCTGTAGCTGCAGAAGATGAGAGATTCATATAAGGATGATTGGAGACATTGTCAAACTTATCAGAAAGAAAAAAGCAGGGATAATAGTACATAAGTTTCACTTCCATGCTCTATTACTCCAGATGATAGTATCATACTAGTAAATAAATCTGCGCCATATATGTAATTTTTACTAATTCGTTACTCTAACGAGCTAACCATGCGCTTTTCAAAATTCCTCATGAATCATAATTATTAGCATGTAAATATAATTTACCCTAACACCCAGCCAGGTCTAACCCATAATCGCTCTTGAACTCCTTATCTTTTGTAGAGGAATCACGAAAGGGCTAGACTTATGTTTCAGCAGGAGAAAGATTAAAAAAAAAATAAAGCTAATTAATACAGTACGAATACATGGTCCTGTCAGGATATGTCCTAGCGTCCTAAATGTCTCACGGTTAACAATTATCTAGACGTCGACTGTACGAAGAATGCACACAACGCAAATCAAAGGGAACCATACTGCGGTCAACAATGCTGACCTTCAGAATTGGAGCTAGAATCTCAACCACTGGAAGTCTATGGATGTAGGAAGGAAAACGGACCCCAATACGAGATAGAACCCATCTGAAAGCCAATGGTGCCAAAAGGAAACATTTTTAATTGTTGCGTTATCTTCAAACAATTATATAGAGCCCAATAAACAGTTCAGAACATGAATTTTACAATGGCATCAGAAAACTCCAATAATACAGAACGTAGGGGGAACAAAAGCTGGTGAGATTTGGGCAGGGAATGAACCATAGTTAGCACAGGATTTACAAAGGTACCTGTGTTGATCATGATAAGAATTGAGAAGCACGTAAGAGACAGTGAGATTAGAACTACAAAGAGGGGAGGGGCGGGGCGGATTACGCTGCGACGGCAGCAGGGAGGATGTATGCCCAAAGATGATCTACCAAGGGGACAGGTATAGGCAGAGCAATCGGAAGTACTGTAGCATTTTAGGGCTCCAGAACCAGTTCGCTTAGAGGAAGTGCAGTGGAAGTGAAATCGCGTTTTTTCCGTCAACGTTTCATGTTTTTCTCACGGACATGAATTATTTACATTAATAATAATTTAATTTAATATATTAATATATCTTATAAAAATTAAATACATAAATATCAATATCTATATTAAATATTGCACATATGATTTATTTTTTTATTTTTTTATAAAACATTTTTATAATTTTTATATTTATATTTATCCTTTTGTCCCTACCCATTGTTGATGAAGTTATTAAACATTAGAGTATTTTATTTATAAAATATGTTTATTTAATAGCAGGGAGGTTAGAAGTTTATTGAATTTTTAAACATAATTAATAAAATTTAATATTTTTTCTCAATTCCAACAAAATATGAAAAGTGACATATAAATAAAATGGTGAGAATAAACAATTGTTATCCAGCTTATAAAAGTATAAACAACCTGGCAAACTTGATTTTTGGAAACACAGTCAGTGTCTATCAATTTTGATGAGCACCATGCCCTCATCACTCTTGTGAGGTGATCTGTGCCTTTTATTTATCTTCAAAGGATTTTTACTGTTGATTTAAAATTATTTTTTAAATATTTTAATATTATATTTATAAAAATAAAATATATAAAAATTATAATATTAAATATGAACTGTTTTTTATATAATTAGAAAATAAATATTGTAATACTCATCACCTTGATAAAATCTAGATAGTCCAAATTTAAGCTTTTTACTTTTATTTTATATTTATTAAAATAAAAATATGTAAAAAACATAAAAATCTTTAATAAATTTGTTTGTCACTAATTTGATCAGTACAGATTTAATTTAGATAATTTAATTTAATGTTATTTTTTAATAATTTTTATAAATTAACTATCTAAATATACTTTGAATAATATATATATAAAAATTGAAAGGTTTAATTTAATATTAAAAATTTTATATTTTAATTAAATAATTATCTAAATATACTTTGAGTAGTTCATATTTAATATTATAATTTTTTATAATTTTTATTTTAATAAATTTAATATAAAAATATTTTTAAAATACTTTTAAGTCAACGGCACATATGATTTGAGAAACAATGAAGGGCCCAAATCACTTGCTTTCTACCCATTATGTTCTCCCTCCATTGTGCCTTCCCTGAATATATGAATCGCTCACATTAAATTTAAAAAAATAATAATAAATTTTTTTAAAATTATATAAATGATAATTTAATCTTTAAATTTAATAAAGTTCTTAAAAAATTCTTTGTTAATAATATTTTTAGTGAGAAGATAATTTTACCCTCATTGAAAATAATAAATTTTAGTTATAATTTTTATTCTGTATGTCATGAAAATTGAATAAGAATTCACATCAATTGTAATTTCAATTATTAAAAAACAAACAGCAATCACAATTTTTTTCTTAAAAAATAAAAATTTTTGTTCTATAATTCACAAAATTGAACAAAAAATTACAATTTAACAAGTATAATTTTTATTATTGAAAAATAAGTTTTTAAAATAATAAATCTCATTCACAACTTTTGTTTGAAGAATAAAATTTTTTTTCAAAAAATTATAAGAATTAAACAAGAAATTAAAAATTATCGATAAGGGTAAAATAATCTTTCTAATTTAAAATTTATTAACAAAAAAATTCTAGGAGACTTCATTAAAATTATGATATTTTGGAAGATCATATTGTCATTTACATCATTCGAAGGGATTTTATTATCATTTTTTATAAATTTTAACTATAAAATTAACATGTAATTTTAAAATCTATTAAATATAAATTATCAAATTTAATCTAATAGCTTGAATTTAATCTAATATAAAATGTAGAGAAAATGAGAAAAAGTGAAAGTGAGAGCAAGATAAGATTTTGACGTGGAAAGATAAGGAAAAAGTCTTTCCATTTATTTTATTTCATACTCTTTTCAATATTTATTATAAGATGTTTTTAATTATGTCATTGGAACTAAGCAATAATAATTAACTAATTATACATATATTAAATTGATTTTTTATTACTTCTATAAAAAAATAAGGAGATAAATACACGGTATATAATGATGGATCATAAAATTAAATTTATAATAAAAGTGAAATTAAAAAACAATAAATAATTATTTATATATCTTATATTAATAATTAATATTTTTTAAATGTACCATATAATAAAAATTCAAGAGGGAGGTGGTATGTGTGTACAAGAGTATTGAGGTAGACATCTTTTTAGTTACATTGCTTCAGCATTAGCATTGCGATGTACATTCTCCAAGGTTAATGAATCCAAGTGTATCTGACCCATGTAATGTTCATACATTTAATAACATTGATTCATGAAAGGGGATAGAATGAATCCTCTGAATTTTAAGATACCATGAATGTATTATAACAAATACTCTAATTTTGACCAGACAATTTAAAAAAAAAAAAGAGTACAGATTATTGTTAATAACTAATTGCTAAAAACGTGTACAGGCATACAAATAATTACTGTATAATTTTTTATAAGACTCCCACTTTACAACCCAAAACCATATACTAAAAATTGAATGTGAAAGAAAAGTAGTAGAAAAAATAAAAAGAAAAAACTGCATCAAACTCTAAAATTATATAGTTTTAAAAAATTAATTAATAACTCATTTGATCTCTTATGATAAGGACCATCAATTTTTTACGGGAGAAATCTTGTAATAAGTTCCTAATAGAGTATGACTACTCTTTTTTCTTTTTAAAAAATTAATTACTTGATTCTTGTAGTTTTGACTTGTTATAATTCAATCCCTAAATTTTAATTTGTTATAATTCAATTTTAAACTTTGCCTCTTATAAATAAGTCTATATAGTTTCAAACATTTAAATATTGGTCTTTATATTTAAAAAATAAAATTACAAAGATTAATAATATTTTAAAATTTTAATTTTAGTAATTTAAAATAATAATAATAAAGTTTAACATAATTTTAATCTTTGTAATTTTATTTTTTAAGATACAAGGATTAATATTTAAATATTAAAAATATAAGGATCGAGTTGTAATAATTAAAGTATAGGAATTGAATTACAATTGAGTCAAAACTTCATAAATTAAATTATAAGGAATCAAAGTTTAGAAATTAAATTATAATTTATAAAAATCAAATAATAAATCTTTCCTTTGTTTTATTCCATCGCTCGATATCTTGGAAATTTTGAGGGAATTATCACAACTCATCCAAACTAATATGAAATCCACTTATGTGGGACTGTTTATTACCAACAGTTGCCTTATAAGTATGTTGAGAATGCCTGACATATTTATTTAACATGAATATTTATTATAAAACTTGAATTCAAGATCCATTATAAATTGGTTCAATTTTTTTGATTAATTGAACTAAGTGCTCCTCAATAAAGTATGACTACTCTTAATTATTTGCAACATGCACGTCCATGAATTTAAATTATTTAAAATGGAAAATGTTATGCGCCAAAATTGCCTTATTAGGTCAACCAAGTGCTGATATGCAATCTTGGCCAAAAAAAAGTGTCAATCTGCATTAAAAGTACAGATAAAATTCCTGTAAGCATTTTATTGGAGAGACAATTTCTATCTCACTCGTTGCAGGCAGTAATTCGCGAAAGTAGGCACAATCTTTCACTCCTTATCAAGCATCTATTAAGATATCAATTGTAATATTGTTCTTATATAGACAAATCAACTCTGCAAAGAGCGTGCATTAAAAGTACCATATCAAATTTCCAGGTTAAAAAATTGTACTGGATCAAATAATCAAGAATATTTTTTTTTCAAATTTTTTAATAAATATAATTACAGGGCAGTTTGGAAATTCCGCTACATGTAGATGAACTAAAAACAGACTTAAAAGAATGAAAATTACTGCAATCTTGCGGGAAATTTAAAACAGACTTAACAGAATGAAAATTAATCCAATCTTAAGGCAAATTTTACAAAGTCTAGTTTACGCCTCTTGCGGCAAAGCCTGATCCGAAGATTTAGGCGAATCCTTTATGTGCTGATCAGTTAAAAAATCTGTTGAAGCCGGGCAGATGAGCGGCTCCCTGATTTTTTCATTATCTCTGTGAGAAGCACCAGCTTTCTTCCCAGGATACAGTACATAATGTTGAAACAGAAGCACAGAATCATAGAATATTGTTACCTGCATAGATGGTTACACAGTGTTCATCACCTAATGTGAAAATATTTCCAATGCTTAATAAATCAGTCCTTTAAGAGATGGACAGAGTGGAGTCAGAATTTTGAGCTGTCATACCAAGGATATAAATACTTTCCCAACGGTTCCAAAGAAGTTAACCCATGAACCTGCAAACATAGGTAGAATCAGCAATTACCCTGAGAGAAGTAAAGTGATGGGGAAAGACTTAATACAGTATCAATGATTGACTTTTGAGGAACCTTGATCTATAGATTGGACGGCCATTTGTGAGTAATTGAAAATTCCACCAGAAAAATCAAGCAAAACCCCGCCAATGCTGAATCCATCTGTACTCTTCCTCAAGAAGTTCATGAATGCCTACATTTCACAACGAAACCATCTTCATAAAACGTAAACGTATAGCTAACCAATGAAGCAGCAAAATGTAGGAACTGTGAACCAAAATAGGGAGGCAAGGAAAGCATCCTGACCTGGGGCATGTATTTGATTAGGGTCATACATACTTGAATTGAGCTGCATTATAATTGATCAGGGTCAGTTCTCATTCTTATAAAAGAAGAGAATGACAATGGAGCTGAACTTACTTAAAGATGGAGATGAGCCAAAGCCAAGAGTTGTCATGTAAAGCTATGAAAAAACAAATTGCAGCAATGAACAATACCACGGAGACTATTCCAATGGCATACATGGAGAATTTCTGACTTCCACGCTGCAGACAGTGACATTGAATCTCATGAAGAATTCACAAAACGTATTCGGTGGGTTAAAAGAAAGAGCAGAGGAGAATGTCTAAGTCTGAAAATTCTTACTTCATATATTACAACCTGGGACAGCACAATCGAGGTCATTATAGCTGAATGAGTAGAGAAAGCAACATCATTAGCAGCCACAGGAATCATCTGAAATTACACACACACACACACACAGTGAGAGAGTAATTAAAAAGCAACATAGCTGATTCTCAGGAATATAATGGGGAGCAGAAACCTGTTCAAAACCATATTTCTCGAAGTGTTTCTGAATGACAGAGCTGAAGTAGAGGGAAGCATTGTGGATGAGATAGGACAAGTGCTTTGTTAAGTTGAGTATCTCGTAATCAAGGTTTAAGCCCACCACACTGTGTTCCATACCCCAACCAACGAAAAGCGCATTTGAATAAGAATCAAGAAGAACAGAAATCAGGGGGGGGGGGCAAGAAGCTCGTGAAAATTACGGTACCTTTTCCGACGAAAGTTCAACACGATCTGAGGGTAACAACTGATGGCCCAGGAAAAGAAAGTAGACCAACCCAGTACTTGGTACAAGACTTTAAGATGAATTGAATTCCAGGAAGCCATTTCTCTATCGGTGTCTCAGATTCTCTCAAGAAATTTGGGGTGTGAAACACAGTTGCCTTCTTCTTCTTCTTCTTGTTTTTTTTTTTTAGCGAAGTGAAACACAGTTGTCTTGATCCCAAATGTTGGCAGGACCTTCCAATCTGTGTTTCAAATGGGAATTTCAATCACTGTCTTCTTTCCAAATGTTTCGTAGACGGAACCTTCAAACTTGGGGTTGAGAAATTTAGCAAGCAAGCAAGCATGCCTTTTTATATTTTTTAGCTTCTCTAAATTGTGAAATCGACCTCCAATAAAGTACAGAGACGCTACTGGGGGAAGATTCAATCCTCCAATTCCACCAACCTCTCCAATAAATAGACATTTTGTGGCAATTATGAAGGGATTTGACCCGTGCGTGTTATCCACTATAATCTCCTCTTTGCCACCCATGTTACATCCAAAAGTCGCATGATCATGAACAGTAATTGAACAGTGAACTGCCCAAAATGCCCAGCATTTTGCATCCAAATGCGCTCCTTACAATGACCAAAGCAACTGCGGCTTAGTTCTCAATGACGCAACAAACGATAGACTAACGGACATCCTTTATTAACCATTCCATTAATCAAAAACTCCAACATTTTTTTTAAATACTACTATTATATTTAAAAATACTTCTTACATTTCTATAAAAAATTTATTACAAATTATGTTTCTGAAATGACAAATACTTATGATAAAAAAGTGACGCATAAAAGTTTAAATTTTTCACATTAATTTTTATTCTAAATTTATATGAATATTAAGAACATATACGTCTCCAAAATTATTCACTTAAAAATAATTTTACTTAAAAAATTAACAATATTGAATTATAAAATTTTTAAAACATCTTGGCTGTCACTCTAATACTATATCTAAACTGTTGCACATTGTAAAGGTCTTCAACTTCATTTGAATACAAAATTGACGGAAATTAATATACTTATTAATTCTATGATTGCCTTCCGCTATCAAACATAATTTCTTTAATGGTCATCCTCTATCGAAAATTAACATTAGGAAGTTTGTAATGAAACATTGAATAGTCACCTTTAAGCATATTTTTAGATAAACTAATAAATGCACAGATATATTCACATGCCAAGCATCTCAAGATAATTTTGATCTTACTATTTTTAATGAATCGCATATAGAATGGAGAATCCTCTTGAATTCTAACATGATCTAATTTTTATAATAAAAAAATGAACAATATTCCATACAAACATTTCACATTTTAATACTTTCTACGAATTACATACAATTTTCTTCACAGTCTTTTATAATTGACTTTGTCAGATATCAACCATCATCTTTAATGATCATTGAAGAACAAACTTTCAATTTGATTTGCAATATAACATGTACCATCTCAATACAACAATAATTTTTTTTTCGTATGGACACCACTATGGCGACACAATGACATCAATAAATTAATTTATCATTCATGATCAAGCCAAATGGACATAGATCTTTCAAACTTCAACAAATTTACAATTCAAAGTCACAAATAACAAGAATTTACTGTGCAACGGATGGGGCATAACGTCCAGTTTTACATCAAAAAGTCATATAACTATGAATAGTGGACTACCCAAAATGCCCCTAATAAAAGTTGTATATCCATGAACCATACTTGAACGATGAATTGCAAAAAATGCCCTAAGTTTTGTTTCTCTATCAGAATGCTATGTCCTTGACTTGAACAATGAATTGCCAAAAATACTCTTTAATTTCCTTTCTTTGGGAATCGAAACTAGCAGGTGGAGCTTTTTAAATTTTTGCTCTTCTGTGTGCCAGGGTTCATACTCATTCATTTATGAGCTTCAAGCTTTTGTTTCCAGTAATCTAACCTTGATCATCTAACCTCCTTTCAGGACCTTTACTTCCTTTACTTGTTGGTCTGTATGGGAATCCATTCTTGGTTTCCTCTCTCCCTCTTGATTTTGTCTCCTATTGTTCTTCCTTCCTCTCTGCAATCCCATTTTTGGAGTAGGTAATATTGGTATGGCACATAAGGCATTAGAGGGGTTACTTATATTATATCACTAAAATTTAATAGTAAAATGCATCCATAATTACTTACTAAGACCAAGCTTTTCTATAAGGCATTTGGCCAAAGAAGAAGACGACGATGACTAAGGAACCATCGATAATGGTACCTATTGTCAAAATTCCTCAAATGGCGGTGACAGCGATAGAGTAGCCTTCGTAGCAACTCATCCTTCACTCTACAACAAATCTTTGTTCAACCTTTCATGACCTTGCCGAATCAAGTAGCTAAACCTGTTAAGATTGTCGTTGCGTCTGGGATCTCTACTTTTGACTTCTAGTGCCTACGCTTTAAACCATTTGATTGTGGCCTATTTGAAAATAACATATTAGACCTTTAAGGATGGCACACAAGATAGAGACAGAGTTGACTCTTTATTAGTGGTTTTATGGTTATGTCAATTTTTAGTTTCTAATCGGTCCATGGAACCTATAATTTTATCACCGACGGAGCTTTTTCTCTTGAATTGCATTGCCTATACTTTGTTAGGTGTAAAAGAGAACTTGATCTAATAGGATGAACAAGCCCTGAAAGCTCTTTTGTATAGAGAAAGTAGAAGTTGCTGGCCCTTTGGGTGGAAAATTTTCCATTATCAAGAAATCACCATCGCCGACATCAATGCTTCTTGTATTCTTTGATTTTTTTTTATAATTTGATTACACAATTATATCAAGAATTATTTGTTTTAATTCTATTTTACGAGCTTAAATTTACAAAACGACTTCATTGAGGTGTGATAAAAAAAATTAATAGTTTGATTGATCTAATTAGGAATGATAAAAAAAAAACTTGGCATCTAGGATTAATTCTAATGATTTTACTTTGAAAAAAAAATCATTATACTCCCCATAAAGACCATCAGTTCTAGAAAAATTGAATATTGTCACCATATTGACAATTTAATATGTCCTAGTAAAAGTTGATATCCTATAAAGTGAGGGGTACTGTGGTTAATGACAAGGGTCATTTTTACTTCTTAATTGTGCACGAAAGGCTGCAAATGACTTATTTTTATTTTTATCCCCAGAGCATCCATGTTAGGAATGGGGAGTGACCACCTAGGAACGAAGGAGAGGAGAGATGGGCAAGATTAGTGAAAGTATACCATGCTTAACTCACAAACTTTATATTTAAGTTTATGAGCCCTTCTTCTTTATTATATATTGGTTATTAAGCTCAAATTATTTGATGTGAGACTTCCCATACATGCTTAAATTCACTTACACTTGGATAACCTAACCATCTCCCTATAAGTGTAAATCCACAAGCTCCCTATATTAAAGATGTTCCAACACCAAGTCCCTATTTTTTAAGGCCAACTTAATTTTTAGGCTTCAAATAGTGTAACGTCCATAAATCCTTGTTAAAGCAGGGCCAATTTCATCTTAAGCTTCAAATGTGTGGGCAATAACATGTTCATAAGTCCCAGATAAATCTTAGCTCTGATACCACTTGTTAGGAATGGGGAGCAACCATTATGGAATAAGGAAAGAGGAGAGACAGGAAAGATTAGCTAAAGAACACTACATCTTAACTAAAAACTTTAAGGCTTAAGTTTATGGATCCTTCTTCTTTATCATACATTAGTTATTAAACATAACTTTATCTGATGTAAGACTTCCCACACCTACTTAAGTCCACTCATACTTAGACAACCTAACAATCCATAACGAAACCTATTGTAGAGGATTAATGTGATCATGTTCTACATGTTTATATTGTTCGATTCAATTGGGTTCAGTCGAGAATGATCATAAAATCGACTTTAATAGCCACTACATTGGTGCTACTGTGTGTATGGGACTACTAGCAACGACATGGAGCATGTATAGCATCAAGAAATTGCTCAACGACGCTGTGTAGGGAGCTCATGAAGATTTCACGTTGGCCCTCAAAAATGTCGCCCTCCTCATCTATCTTCTTTATCTTCTCTTTCTTCTGCCATTCTCTCTCTATCAAGTTCATTAACCAAGTGGACATCATCATCAACTCACTCTCTTTCAACTTCATGCTTCTCTCTCTCTTGCTCAAGATGCTTTACTTCAACCAACATTTCTCATGCTTGATTAAACCTAGGGGGATGAATTAGAAGGAAAGAGTGCTTCACTTCTCTCTTATAGAATTGAACTCATGACTTGTAACAAAGTAAAGCCAACATGCTCCCACCAATAAGCCACGAGTTCAATAAGAAGGAGAGAAGGTGAGATAAGGAGAGACGAAGATGAAGAGAGATATATTTATATATTATTAAAATACATAAAAATGGTGGGACCTATTATATAATATTTTATAATAAAAATATTTAAAAAAATTAAATGTGAGGCCCATATAACAGGAAAAGTGTACAACTTAACATCAAGGTCAAGGGCGTGGCTAACAAATTTTCTAAGGTTGAGGGAAAAAATTAATCTCAAGTTAAGTTTAAGATCACTTATAACCTTTTACATATGATTAAGGAATAAAAATGACTCTTAACCCATGATTAATGATTGTTGTAGCCTTACCTCATATACTTGAAACTTTTTGGTAATAATTAGTAGACAGGAGTTAGTCTAGATAATAGATATAGAGTAGTCTTTTTACAGGTGTATAGAATGGAATGCTACAAATGGTTTTGCATAGAAGTTGCAATTTCATTTAATCATGGTGGTTAGTCCTTCTTCATTGGGGCTTAAATTAAAAGATTCTGACATTGTGCACTATTTTGAGTTTTTTTTCTCTTCTTTTTTTTCCGATGTTCATAATTGTCTCTTAATTATGGAGGATAGACAGAAAGGTTTATGCGTAGAGAATTGAAAGACCACTTATTATATCTTTCAAGAGTCTTCTCATTTGCCTTCCTTACTCTGTTCACTATTGTAAATTGTTAGGTATATAGTAGCATAGTTATGACCATTGGTTATTGCCAACTCTCTGTTGTAGTTTGTTTTTATAGTCCTTTTCATTTTCTTAAATTTCTCTCATTTTAATAGAACAGTGAATGGGAATAACACTTTTTGGAAAATTTGCAAGAGCATAAAAGAAGCAGACTATCGGCAATAATATTCAACATGATATTGTTGTTGTTGGAGGAGGCATGGTTGGCATGGCTATAACTTGTTCATCAACAAGGATGATCCCCTTGATCCAAGAGTTAGCACTGTAACTCTTGCAACGATATCCTTTCTCTAAATTATCTAGTCATATTAAATTTGCAATAGTTGTGGTCTTGATTTTCCATTCTTTGCATTTCATGAACTACATTCATGA